CCCGAGCGTGGACCCCAAACCGGAGCCGCAGGCGGAATCCGAATCCGGGTCCGAGTCGGAGCTGGAGGCAGGCCCGGGGCCCAGGCTGGGGCCGCTGCAGAGGAAACCGCCGATCGGGCCGGAGGACGTGCTGGGGCTGCAGCGGATCACGGGTGGTGAGCACCGGAGAGGGAGCGCCGCCCGCGGGCGGGAGCGAGAGAGCGTGGGAGGGGCCCCTCGAGGCGCGCGGAGCCCGGGCCCCCGCCCCCTTTCCCGCCCTCACTGCCCCCGCCTCCCCTCCCCCACCCGGATCCCCCCTCGCCTGTGTCCCCTACCCTTCTGCCTCCAATCCTGAGATCTCCATGTCCCCCCTTCCCTTGATCTCTCTCTGCGCCCCTTCTCCCTTGAGAGATTTATTACCACCTCACTCCTTCCTTTTCGAGAAGTCCATCTCCCTTTCCTATGGTGGAGGTGGGGCAGCAGCTGCAACTTACCCCTTCCTCGTAGTCTTCAGAGCCCTTTGAAGATTTTCTCTGCAATTTTGAGGAGGGGGGCTGAGTGCAGTCTGTCCCGTCTCTTCCACCCTTGAGCCCTGGTGGAGGCTGAGTTACTTAGGTGGCATTAAGACCCTCAGTTCTCCCAACCATTAATGCCCTCACCCTGGACACCCCAGGAAGTCTGGAGCCATACCCTGTCCCCAGGAAAGGACCTGAGCAGGAATTTTCAATTGGTTCCCTGTGAGGCCTCTCAAGGGATGCCCCTCTAGCCTAGACTAAGGTTAATGCCCACCCCCACCCCCCCTTAGCCTGGACTAGGGCCTGTTCTCTTCTGGGAGGCCAAGTCTCCACTGCGGTTGAGTTTCTGAATTGGACTGCCTAAGTTGAAGTTTCAGGTTTGCCGTGTAATTGGCTGTGTGACCTTGGGCTAATAACGTCACCTCTCTGAGCATATTCATCTGCAAAATGGGGATAATGACACCTACCCTACAGAGCTATTGTGAAAGTAAATCCTCTGATTTTGCTCTGTGCCTGGCATAATGTGCGTGCTCTGTAAATAGGGCTCTTTTATCAATAGTACTGAGGGCCCCACAGGACTGCTCATGGCTGCTGCCTAGAAGCAGACAACTGGGCATTCAGGGCAGGGGAGGGGGCCACCATAGGCTGGGAACAACGGTTAGAAAGTCTCGTGGCAGAGGCAGTGGCTGAGCCTCAAAGAACAGAAGGCATTTGGAGAGGCAATGGCCTTCTACCTTGGTCTCATTCATCAGTAATCCTGCCCTGGCTCTCTCTGCGAGAGCAACTCTTGGAGCCCTTCTGTAGGGGTGAGGGGGCAGATGCTGGAGTGGACCTGAGCTCTGGAGCTGCAGAAGCAGCAGAGCTCAGGGCTTCCAGACAGAGCTGTGGAGGAGACCATGAAGACAGGTCTACGCCTGTGCATCTGGGTCCCTGGGGGACCAGTATCTCCCTCCTCTCTGAGCCAGGCAGCAGCCATTCTTGGCTGGGCCCCCAGAGCACTGAGCTGCCTTGCTCAAACAGGCAGTGGTAGGGGGAGGGGACCTGGACCAATCTGATGTTGGTGTTAATTGGGCTGTAATTCGCAATAGCAGCATTTAGGATTCAGGTTAGTTCTGGGGCAGAACTTCCTTATAAGATATCTAGCCTGTCCGGGTCCTAGGTTAATTTAGAGGTTATTTCACAACTATGGGGGCTTCGAGCCCGTGTACAACTGTGTCTCTAAATTTGGAGGAAATTCATGGCCCTTCAAGATGCAGCATCTGAGGGGGATGAGTAGAGAACGGGGCTTCACAGGAGCTCTTTCCTTTGTAGAAGCTGAGAACAGGGTTACAGGACTCTCCTCACCCTAGGAACCTCTGCCTGGTCTCTTCTGACCCTAATCACATAGGTCTGAGGTTAGCTCTTCCTGGATTACCCAGCCCTGAATCCAGCTTAGGAAGCTATTTGTGGCTGAGGGGAAGGGAGCAGTTGTGTTCTAAGCCCTTGGCCACGCTGCCGCTTATCTGGCCTGACCCTGGGTCCGAGACCTCATCCTTCTCTGGCAGAGGGAGGGCTTAGCTGTGGTATCCTGAGCCATGGGTATCTGCTGTTCCTTACTTCCTCTAAAGACAGAGGGGTTGATAGGTTGAGTTTGCAGTAGATGAGACTAAGGTCAGTCTGCAAGTTGTTCTCAAATGAGAGGAGAGTCTCCAAAAGTTAGAATGGAGGAAGAAGGAGGGCTTTATGAGGATCCAGGAGCTGGGCAACTAGGATCCAGTTCCCAGTTCTGCCACATCCTCTCCTTATGCCCTTCACCTTCGTTCTACACCTTTGGATTAGTGCCTACTTTCTGTTAAAATTGCGTACAGGGTGAGGTAGGGGCTGCCCACTTCTATTCCTCTCCTCTCCTCTCTCTTCCCTACTATGGGCTGTGATGGGCAGGCCAGGGCTCAGGCCCCTTCCCAAGCCCTATGAAGTTCCTGTTGGGCCCCAAGGTGCCAGAGTGGCTACCAGGAGGGCTTCCTGGAGGGGGCTGCCCCAGGCTTGGGGAAGAGAGAATGACTTTACATTCACTTCCTCTTCCTACCCCAGAGGAATAGGAGGTGGCCCAGGGGCCTGGAGGGTGATTTCCGGGTCTCTATGGGGAGGATGTGATGCTGTGCAGGCTGATAGCCTCAGAGCCCACGCTGCACCTTGCTGCTCCTTCCTATTTGCTGCTGGGGCCTCCCTGAGTGCTTGTAGTTGCTGCTGCAAGGGCAGTGAGGGTTGGATCAGGCCCTGCTATTCCTGAGCTTCCTCATGCAGGGGTCAGCATTGTTCTTGGTTCCTCTTCTAGGCCTGAGGACTCCCCTTACCCCATGCACACTCCCCGCTGCACCTGCCGCACCCTCTTCCTGGCCTCACCTATGCTCTTCTCTCTGGGGCCAAGGCTGGATAGGTGACCTATGAGGGGGTTCCTTCTGTTTGCTAAGACCTTCTTCCATTTGAAGATCAACAGGGGATGGGAGTAAGGGTGACTCCCTTCCCCCCAATATTCCAGGCTCTGGGCTTGAGTCAGCAGAGCTTTGGCTAAGCTGCTTAAGGGAGTTGGGTTTGTATAAGCCTCTTATGGGGAGAGGCGGGGCCTGGGCGGGGCTGTATGTGTGTGTGTGTGTGTGAGGAGGAACAGGGAAGGGGTGGTTTCTGTGCCCTAACGCTACCCAGATCAGAGAAAGTCCTTGCCTGACACACCAAGATGTGGCACCAGAGGCCGCTTTGGAGTGGGGTTGGGGGTGTCATCTCCAGAGGTAGAGCTGTGTCACCCCCTTAGAGTAAGGCTCCCCAAAGCAGAACTGTATCTTCCCTCTCATGTTGGGATTGCTCGCCATCAGATTAGAGACCCATTTGACTCAAAGTCACCAAGCTAACCCTGGCAAAGCAGAGGCTGGAATAAGGACCCTCAACTGGATGGGAGAGCAAGTGTGAGGGAGGTGGCCTTGACCTCCTCGCTGCCCCTCCCTGGCCCCAGAGGCTAGTAGGATGGAGCCATGTGGCCCCCCTTAGATCCCAATGTCAGAGCTATGTCTCCCCCACACTGTGGAGGCTCCCCCAGGGCAGGGGTTCAGGTCTCTCTTTCTGAAGGCAGTGACCTTAGGGATCAGAAAGTGGTAGGTAGGTCAGGATCCCACTAAAGCTGAGCTGGCAGCAGGGGCTTCCCGGCAGGCCCCTTCTTTGCTCAGCTGCCCATCTCCTCTAGACTACCTGTGCTCCCCTGAGGAAAATATCTACAAGATTGACTTCGTCAGGTTCAAGATTCGGGACATGGATTCAGGCACTGTCCTTTTTGAAATCAAGAAGCCTCCAGCCTCAGGTGAGTGGGTTGGGTGGGCCATCGACAGAGGAAGGATGGTGAGGGCTGTGAAGTGGGCTGCCCAGGGACTCCTCAGGCCACAGAGGAGTCAGAGCAGAGCTGGGACTTGGGCCTTTCCAGGAGTCAGCAGGCTGGGGGACCTCTGCCTGGGCCTGAGCCTGTTCTTCCCCTGTGTTTCTGGGGTTAGACCTCTTGGGAAGGTAGTCCGGCCTCTTCAGTCCCTGCCAGCCTGCCCTCTGCATGCCTGCCTGGGAACTACAGTCCTGGAGACCCCAGGTCTTTTTGTCTCCTGTGGCTCTGGGAACCTTAGTTGAAATTGGTGACTGGCTGACCGAGAACCCCCAGTTGGAAGCATTCAGCCAATGGTCTGAACCCTCAATGTGCATCAGGATCTCCTGGGGAGTTTTGAAAATTCAGACAGAGGCGGGCCCTGTGGTCAAAACTGGGGTGGGCATCGGCCCCAGCCTGAAGCCCACTGAGCCCCAGCTGGGGTGCATTACAGAGCGGCTGCCCATCAACCTGCGGGATCTGGACCCCAATGCTGGGCGCTTTGTCCGCTACCAGTTCACGCCTGCCTTCCTCCGCCTGAGGCAGGTGGGAGCCACGTGAGTCACTGGGCCAGGGTGAGGGCTGGGGGTTGGGGAGAGGTGGGAGCGAGCCCTTCCTGAGTTCTTACTGAGCCCCTCTGAGGGATGGTCTCTCCAGAGCCTGGCTGGCCACCCTATGGCCCAGCTCAGCCCCACCTCCTTCTCTCACTCAGAGTGGAGTTCACAGTGGGAGACAAGCCTGTCAACAACTTCCGCATGATTGAGAGGCACTACTTCCGCAACCAGCTGCTCAAAAGCTTTGACTTCCACTTCGGCTTCTGCATCCCCAGCAGCAAGAACACCTGCGAGCACATCTACGACTTTCCTCCTCTCTCTGAGGAGCTGAGTGAGTGGGCAGGGCCCAGGGGAGGGGCTCAAGGGGGACCAGAGAGACCAGGTTGGAGGGAGTGTGGGTCTGAGCCCCTGTCCTCCCACCCTGGGTCCCCTGTGTCTTGTCACCATTCCCATGTCACTTATAGAGAAACCGAGACTCAAAGAGGCCGGTGTGAGGGGGTACCTTTTGTTCAGCTTGTCCCCATCCCCTAGTCCTGAAGCCCCTGCAGTAGTCTGGCTCAGGCTCCTGACCTTTGCCCCAACTGACTGGGCCTCTCTTGCAGTCAACGAGATGATCCGTCACCCCTATGAAACACAGTCTGACAGCTTCTACTTCGTGGATGACCGGCTGGTGATGCACAACAAAGCAGACTATTCCTACAGTGGGACGCCCTGACCCCCAAACTGCCCCTCACCCCAGGAGGGTCCTGGGCCCTCAACCATGACCACCCCACCACTCACCTCTCAACCCTAAGTCTTCTGCCTGAGGAATGTTCCAGAAGCCCTGGACCCTGAGTCACTGTTGGGTGGGAGGGTGCCTGATGTCTCCAGCCCAAGTCCATGCAGCCCATGGGGCCTGGCACATGGGGTGGGATGGTAGGAGGGCCGTTTGCCTCCGTGTCCAGGAAAGCCTCCTGTGAGAGGAGTAGCTAGGACTTCCCAACAAACTAGCTGGGCCTCTTGGGCCCAAGTGTCAGAATAGTGTTCCCCTATCCAGGTTTGACTAGGTCGGGGCAGGGACCCATTCCCTGTCCCCGGCCCACCACCAACAGGCTATTTAGAGTTGTAAATTCACAGATGAAGATCCATGTGGGATCTGGCAGTCAAGCTTCCCAAGGGAGTCTGGGCCCTGACTCTAGCCCTGGCTGTCACCATCAGGGGCTGAGATACTGCCTGAGGGGTGGGTCCCTCCCACCCTGATTGCAGCCTGTGGTAGGGGCTGGACGAGCTGTATATAGTTTTCAATAAACTCTCCTTTTCTGTTCTCTGGTTGTGAGCTGGCATGTGAGTGGTGGTGAGTGGGGGTGGGGGAGGGCAATAATGTGGTCCCGAGTCCTGTCTCCTAATCCTCTGCACCTGACACCACACTTGGCCTCTAGAGTCAGCATTTAGTACATGTTGCAGCTGGAAAGGGTTTTCTTTTAATAAAGGAGACCCAGACCCTGAGAAAAGAAGCTTTGGTCCAAAGTTAGCCAACCCTGAAGAACAGAGGCTGAGACAAGGGCCCTGACTCTGAGGTGGAAGGGAAGGTGGCCTTGCCTTCTACCCCACCTTTCCTATCCCTCAGAGGCCACTAGGACCATTAGATTGTCCTTTTAGCCCTCCCTCAACAGAAAGAAGGTGGACAGGGCTATGGCTAAGGACTGGAGCTATCTTGCCCTTGGTTGCCTTGGGGAGGCCCCAGGCCTGGCTGCCTTGCCTGTAATAGTGCCTCCAGCCCTGCCACAGAGAGGTCTTCATTCCCTTAATGAAGGAAATTCAGGAACAGAGGTTAAGTAGAGAACTTGCCTAGGTTCACACCCCACTGTTACAGGCACTAACTTGGATACGCATGATGCCAGTCCTCTCTGGGCTGAGGAGTTAATCTAACCCTAAGAGGCCTAGAAGTTCTGGAATTCAGCTGGGCTCTGGGGAGCCCTTGCTGTGGGCCAGGATGTGGGCTGAACGTAGGGATTCTAAAATGAGTGAGACCCAGGGAACAAATATCTGTCCCTAGAGTAAGATGAACGGGGCATACAGGGGAGCAAGAGTCGTTTTGCTTGGGGGGTTCTGGGGAGGATTCCTGGAGGAGGCAGCATGGGAATAGATGCTTGAAAACTCAGGACGATTCTGACAGGAAGAGATGGAGGAGAGAGTGTTTAAGCACAGGGAACAGCATAAAGCAAGGGTCTGGAGGCAAGATTTATCCGTTGTTTTCAAGAAACTGACAATCTTCCATGTAAAAGACCTGTGGATTCTTGTGGTTCAGGTGTTGGGGCTTCTCCTGAGGAAGACAGTGGGCCATGGAGGAGGATTAAGCAGGAATGACTTGATCAGATTATCTCCGGCAGCTGAGTGAAGTGTGGATTGGAAAGAGTGAGACTAATAATAACAGCCAATATATATTGAGTGCTAGGCCCAAGGCTAGGCGCTTTATATGTGTTAACTTAGATTGCTCACCATCATTTCTGAGGAAGGTACTATTATTATGCCCATTTTGCAGAAAATGCAGGCCCAGAGAGATTAACTTGCCCGGTCAATGTTGCACAGCTATTAAAGTGGCAGTGTCAGTATTTGAATCCAGGCAGTCTGGCTCCAGAGGTCATGTACTACCATCCTGGAGGCAGAGGGGTGCTGAGGAGGGTATTTCAGGAATTCAAATGAAAGGTGAAGGAACTCGGGAGAAATAAATGAAGTTGAGATTTTTAAGAGGTGAAATCTCCAGGACTGGTTGCTGATTGAATGAGGGAGTTGGAGACAAGGAGGAGACTGAATCCCTGGTTTGTGGCCTGGATGTTGGGGTGGATGGGGTGTTGCCACTCGCCTTGGAAGCCCAGGTTGGTACACGGAGGAGTCTAGCGGGAGGTGATGGGTTCAGGTTCGGACATGCTGTGGTGTGATGCAGATGTCCTGGATGAGGTGACCGACCAGGAGGAGAAAGAAAATTCAGGCCATGAGACCAGGAGAGGGGTGAGGGCTGGAGATGGTGATCGTTGGAGGTAATTGTTCATAAGGTGATTGCTGAAGTTGTGATGGTGGCTGGGATTATGGGGTGGCCAATAGGCACTACTGGTGATTAGAGAGCAGAGAGCATGAATGGCAATGCTCTCCAATTAATGAGACACTCGATGCTAGTAGTCTGTCTCTTTGAAGTCATCCAGGTATATTTGCTTTGACTCCTTAGGGGTGTCATGAGGATCCTACCACTGGGCTTAGCAGGAAAGCCCAAATACTACAGGGAGACCACTGCTCATGCTCACCTGGGCTGGCCTGTGGGGTGTGTACGGGGACTCCCAAATCCCATCATAAAACACTGAGATGCTTCCCTTCCAGCTGGTAAAGAGCTGCTGTTCCAAGCCCCCAGTGCCTTCCTCCCTAGCCTGGCCCCTCCCCTGAGAGCCGCCCTCCACTTCCCCACCCCCTAGTAACTAAAGCAAGTGTGCTTTACTTTTTTGTGTGTCATGGACCCTTTGTTATCTATCATCTACTGAAGCCTATGGACAATGAGTTTTTTTATGTACATAAAATATATTGTAATCCCTGTGTATTTTATGTATTAAAAACTATATATAGATAGCTATACCTATTCTTCAATGCCAGTAACCTAATGTAAAAATGTCTGTGATTTCTAATCTGTGATTTCTCTAAGAACAAAGTCACAGATTCTGTGAAAGTCTTGTGATTTGTTGCTGACATTCTTCTTAAGGGAAATGATAAATTTGAGGTAGAAACGAGTGAAAATGGAGGTGTAATTTCTTTATCCAAGTTCATGGACTCGTGGCTTCTAACCAGTTTTAGAACCCTCAGCCTTAGGGCTCCTGAACAAAAGGGTTAATTCCCCATAAATAGGGAACTTCCAGACCCTGCATCCTTTCAAACTACATTGCTCACCCTTAATAGTGGTTGAACATGTTGTGAGAAGTGGCCAGCAGGGGGCAGCATAAGAGCAGGAGTGTGGGTCAGTTCTGAGAGAAGCAGCTGGCAGTTTGATCTGGTTACAAACAAACATGAGACTCAAAAGTCATATGTGCTTGCCACCTGTCTTAATTTGCGCAGGGGCCGGCTCACTCACTGCCTAGGGCGGAGGAGTAGAGCAGGTTGTCTGAGTCCCCAGGGTCTGAGGATCTGAGGCCAGGAAGTGGGTCCCAGTAAAGTCCTATGAAATATTTCCCCTGCCCTTGAGGGCTTGGGTATCAAGACACAGGCCCGGGGTTGGTCAGAGCTGGCCTGTGGTCACATCACCTAGGGGCTTGACAGAAAGCCTTTACTACTTCCTATACAGCCAGGGCTGGGCTGGGGCAAGTGGGTCTCTTACTCTCAGGTGCACTGGCTGGCTGTGCCTTCCGCCTCTTCCTACCTGACCCTATCCCTTTAGCCCTGGACCTGGCCTTAGAGCCTCTGGGAGGGAGGGTGCTGATATAGGGTGGGGTTCCATTGTGAGATCCTCTGCAGAGCTGTCCTCTGGGGCAGGTAGGTAGTGTTCCTGGCCCCCAGGCCTGGCCCCTGGAAGAACTTTCTAAGCAGAAGCCCTACCTGTGGCTGCTCTCAGACTCGAGGTCCGTGTATGTTCTTTCAGCTCCCACACCTGCCCCATCCCTGTTCTGCCTCTCAGGCTGCTGTTTGGTGACAGCAGCCTGCCTGGTGGTGGTACCTGAAGTGGGGCCGAGTGGGCTCCTAACCCTCCAGGGACCATCCTCCAGGGCTGGCAGTGCACACTGCACATTCAGGTCACCTGTGGAACCCAGAGCCCAGCCAGGGAAACACGGGGGCAGGAAGGCACAGCTTGGATAGGGAAGTGACCCCTTCTGGCAGCTGCTTCCTCCAATCCCTTTGGAAGTTCTCCTGGGAAGAGATATCACCCGCCTGGCCCCTCATCCTTACCCGTGCTGGTCAGGACGTCCTCCTAGATGCCTCACTCTTTGGATTTGAAAACTTCACAGTCCTAGGTGAGGGTCAGGGTAAAATCACAGGCCCAGGGAATCTATAGTCAGCGTGTCCTAAACTTTCTGCCCCAGGGAGGGGGGTCCAAAAAGGAAGGCTTGGTAGTGAGACCACAAGGCACTTTGCTTTATTGTTCCAGGACAGGGGACAATGGCAGGCCATCGAGGGTTCTGCTTTGCCTCATCTGAGCCTAGGGCCAACCTCTGGGGGTTCTTGTCAGCCTCAGGCCCAGGGCAGGCTGAGGCTCCCGCTGGGTAGAGGTTGGGCTCCCAGCTAGGGTGTGGCAGGCATCTGGGCCTGCCAAGCAGTCAAAAAGAGGGGTCATGGGTGCTCCCCCACCAGCCTGTACCAGGCTTCCCTGAATGCCCAGGCTGTCTGAGACAGTTGGAAGTAATTCATAAAATGGGACCTAAACTACATGAACTTCTTAGGAGTGAGATTGTAGTGAGCTGGAGGGGCCCTTCCTGCACCCAGGGCTGGGAGAAAAGGACACTTTCAAGTTTCCGAGGGCAAGGGGTTTTCCAAACACTTTGGAATTGGGCTCAGTTTGGTCCTGGGGTGAATTTGCCCCTCCTGTGTGTCACCCTGGGGGAAGCCAGACAGAGCTTATGTTGAGGACGGATAGGGCCTGGCAGAGGGGATGCTGCTGACTATTCGCCCCCGGGGGACCCCCAGACACCTTGGGGAGGGGCTCCATATCTCTTCCTTCTTGATAGGCTGCTGGGATGAAGATGGGAGAATAAATACAGGGGGCTGCTGGGAAAGGTCATGCCCTGAGGGGACCAGGCCTGCAGAGGATATGGATGTGAGAATGGGGTTCCACGGTGGTCTTGGACCTGGCATGGGGCCCCTGAGCTTCTGGTAACCAAAGGCTTCAACTCTCAGCTGCCCCCAAAATGAAGTCAGGCTCTGGGATGTAGTTCTGATTCCTCTGGATATAATGTATGTGAGTGGGTTATGTCTGAATAACCGTGTCTGTGTGTGTGTGCACTCATGTGTGCACACGTGCATGAAGGCTTAAGTATGAGTGTGAGCTAGGGAGAGTGTGTTTTCTTCTTGCCCAGACATTTGTGCTTCCGGGGCCCTGAGTGAGGCGCTGATGTACCAGGCGGCAGAAATGTGTGAGTGGCAGAGTCCTGGGTGGTGTCTTCTTCATCCCAGCTGCCAGCTAACATACAAGTTGGCTTAGTGGCTTAGGGGACAGGGAATGTTTTCCTTCCTTGACCTTTAAGGTGAGCCCGATGTGGGCGGCCAGCTGGGACCTCCAGGCCAGGCAAAGGCTGGAGCTGCTGCTGGGCACGGCTCATGCTAAAGCCATGGGCTTGGAGCTGGGGCTGAGGTACAC